CGACCAAAATTAAATCGGTCACTAATTGCGATCGAAAGAATTTGGTCGCTAATTTCAGTCGCTAAATGTGTTTTTTCTTGTAGTGTTAGGATGAGTCTCGCATCACTTAGGAGTTAAGGTCAAAGGTAGTTTAAATACACCTTCCTCTCTTAACCCACTGAAACACTTTTTAAGGATAAAACCGTGACAGACGAGAGCTCCAAAGCGTATAATACCTCAAACATGGGAATTGACCCAAATGATGTTATCATAGCTGACATGAGATCGGACCATTCTTGTTCCTTAAACGAAACATGTTGTAATCCAATTCTAAAAAACAAAATTATGAGGTTGTTGTTTACGTTAAGAAATTGTTAATAGGTAAACTTGAGACAAGGTAAAAAAAATAAAGATTCATTAGCAATCCTAAGAAAATATTGGAATATTATTTTTACTAACCTTTAACCTTAAAGCATGTGTGACTAGAGGGGCTTCCTTTATAGAAAGGGAATTTCTTATAAAAGAAACTCATGGTAAATATATTGAGTTAGATAAAATTTAGTTGAACAATCCTATATGACACTTATAGATAATCCATAGCATCACAAGATCATAAAGTCTTTGTGTGAAACTTTATTATGTAGTCAATTTCAACAACACAACTAAGAACAACACTTAGACCATCTCAATCAAGGAATCACAATCCTAATCATCCACTCAAGAATTCAACATAGCCAAACTAGTTGATAAACAAAACATAAAGAATATATTTACAAAAAAATGGTGCAAAACACGATACAATAGAATTACATAAACTATATATTATAACCAAACCTAAGATTTTTTTTTCCTTTGGATTAACTTTGGAAAAATAAGTCTCCAAGAACTTTTCTCTTGTAGAAAATATTAAAACACTTTTAAGTGCATGGCAACGATGTTGTTGATTTTCAAGAAAGTGTTTACTACTATGATTTTTTATTGAAAAAAATTTTAAAGTCATTGTATTTATATAAAAAAATGAGTTAAAATAAAATGGTCTTTATCCGTTTACTAACTTAGTTGATTTTTTGAAAAACTAACACCAATTTTTTAAAAAGTGTTTTTTTGAAAAATTCATTTGTTTGTTCCCATTAGTTGATCCACTAGATGATACACTTCTAAACTAGGAAAGAATTATTATTTATAATGATTAGATACTAAGGAAAACACTATGTAAAAACTTGTGTGTTGTTAGTAACATCAAATTTGAAGGAAGAGTAACAAACTAATAAAGATATGCAAAAACAATTGATGTTGAATCAATAAGTGATGTATTAATGAGTGATTAGTCATCTTAAACCAAATTGTTTGATGAGGTTGTTCTCTACTAACAAATCATTTGACGACACAAAGTAGCAGTTGATCATAACACATAACACAACTGACATTGCAAGCAACTAACTTCAAACAACTTGTTTGATCCTATCAACTCATCTAACTTCAATAGTTGACCCTAACAACTATTTTGACTTCAGTAGTATTTAACTTTAGTAGTTTGTCTAATAGTTGACTCTAGTAGCTTATCCAATGAGTTTGTCTACTAATAGCTTGTCCAATGAGCCAAGTTATAGGTAGCATATTTGATGAGCATGTTCGATCACATAATTTATCATATCGTCTAATGACACAAATTTGATTGATTATATAATAATTTAATCTCCTTTTGTTTGATAATAACAACACATTCTAAATAAAATATATACACAACTCTTTTATTACCCATTGTCATGATCAAATTTATTTATAAAATCTTTGTCAAGGAGAACTTTTAAACAATTGATTCACAATCTTAGTTTTCATAATAAAAAAAATAAATGTAATTGACATTTTTCTTTGGTAGGTTTTTATCCTATCATTATTTTTAATAAGATTTTAACGAGACTCATCTCTCGTCATTAGACATCCAATAAAAAAAATAGTTTTATAAATTATTATTCCTCTTTCGTTAATTTTTTTTTTTAGTACTCATAATTGTTTATGTAACTAAAATATTTGTAATCATTATGTTAAATTATTTGAGTAGTATTTTATACCTATAAATAAAATATCTTATTTAGTGAAAATATAATAAATTTAATTATCTATTTTTATTATAACAATATTATAAATAAATTCATAAAAATTATAGTTTGATTAAGAAATAATGAATTTTTAAAATTTAAAATAGATTACATTTAATGAATATATTATTTAATAATATAATTAAAGGTAATATATGCTATATTTAATTGATACAGTATAAAATACAAATATTTTATTTATTTATAGTTAACATTTTACGAATATTTAATTTCAGAAAATAAAGATTTTTTAGTATATACTAAAATTGAAATTGTCATTGTGATAATTTCTTATTTTCAATATAAATGTATGTGTATTAAATTCAACCTATTATATTAGTATGCATGAATAGTTTTTCTATTTTATCCTATTTTTAAAATGAAAATATAATTTCATATATATATATATATATATATATATATTATAGTTACTATAATAGTTAATTTTTATTAAATAATATTTAATAGTATTATGAAATTTAATCATATATTAACTACTTTAATTATGACTGAAATAGAAAGATATTTTTATTTGTCTACATGTCACACTAATCTAATAACATAAAATACAATAAAATACAATGCTAAAACTTTTGAAGTCGAATTTACTTTCATATAAATATTGTTATCCAGAATCTTCAGGATTCGATCAAATTTTTGATGAAATTGCAATAAAACACGTAATACGTAATGTGAATAATAATGAAATAATAATTGGCATTTTGTCAAAAATATACAATGATGTGCTTGAAAGGTGATAATATATTGTTTTCCATTGAAGAGCCATATGTGTGAATCTGAGAAGGAAATCAGGATAAGATACATCGATGATTTTAAAAGCAAGAAAAACATGTATTTAATATTTCTTCATCTTCAACATAATAATCTTTAACCAATTTGTATAATACTTCAAATCTTCACCTAACGTGTTACATGTGCACTTTCTTAATTAGAGATGGTTTGACTGCAATCAAATATAATTTATTATTAATTAAATAGTTAATGATTGAGAATATAAAAATATGTTAAAACCTTCTTTTTAACAAAGAATAAATTTCTCTGTAATATTTTTTACGAAAAAACGTTTTTCATAAATTAAAGTTAGTTTGTGTATTAACTAATTTATAGAAATTTTATTATATAACTTTTTTTTTTTAACTTTACATATACAACTAACGATAATTTATAAAAAAAGTTAATTTCATTTTTTTTTCTATATTTATGGAAAAACTGATCTAAAATTAATCACTATTTTACTCTTTTTATTATTATTATATATATATATATATATATATATATATATATATTTAAATGTCAATTTAATATATGTAGAAACAATTTTTTTGTCAATAAAAACATTTGCAAACCAGACTAATATTATTATATCTATATAATATTAATTATGAATTTTTATAAAGTTATAATTTTCTATATATTAATGTTAAACTAATGAAAATAATATGAAATTAATTATTTTTTATTATATAAAAATCAAATAAAATATTTTAACACTAGTGCTAAACTAAGAAATATTGTGATTATTATTATTATATAAAAATATTTTTTTTATCGTATTTATTTTTTCACCCTTTCCTTTGTCTCCCACATTCTGGTGGTTACTCCACCGTCTCTACCAATCCTGTCATCATCTAGTCGTTTCCCTTTTTCACCCACTATGGTCACAAGTGTCCCTGTCGCCCACGACCCTCTTCACCATAACCAAAGTTCCCAAAACTTCGGAATCACCAAATAGCAAGAACTATCTACAACTTTTTTACTATGCCAAAAACTTCACAATTATACAAATATTATTCGACACAACGTGAAAGAGAAAAACAATTATTACCCATCGTTAATATTTAGTTTCAGTGAGTTATTCCTCGTTATTTTTGTTATACGTAGTTTTCTGTTTTTTTTATTATTATTATTATTCTTCTCTATCTCGGATATATATATATATAAATAAATAAAAAATTGATAGTACGGTAGGTAGAATTTTGTATTATTCTATTTAGTTTAACGTTAATAAAATATTATCAAATGTTGTCTTCCAAACTAAAATATTAAGATGGTATTAGAGCTTTGATTTGTTTTTTATTGTTTTTATCATTTATTCTACATTTTTTCCTCTTCTTTCTTATGAAATACCAAGAATGACCAATCATAGTTTTGTTGATTTCACAACCACTTTCAAATCCATACTATCTTCATGCTAACGAAAATCATGATCTCGTTCTTGTTTCTCCAACTCTTAATAGCAAGAATTACCTTTCTTAGGCTTGTGCTATGAAGCTAACACTCAAATCGAAGAACAAAATCAAATTCACTTATGGTAGCTTCATTGAACCTTTGCAATTTGACCGCTATATGAAGCCTCGATAGTTGCAACACTATGTCCTTTCTTGGATCTAACACTATGTAAATGCATCGATATTGAAATCTATTTTATGGATAGAGAAAGCCTATGACGTCTGGAAGGATTTGTACAATTGTTTTAACCAAAGTGATATATTTCGTGTTGTTGATCTCTAAGAAGAGTTATACAAATTAAATCAAGGTAGTCTTTGTGTATCTAAATTTTAGCCTAATCAGAGAACTATTTAGGAGGATATCAATAATTTTCGTCCTATTTTAAATTGTAAGTGTTTCATCTCTTGTCCATGTGGCGCAATTGAAGCGATTAAGACATATAAGAAGCAAGACTGTGTAATCCATTTTCTTAAAGGTATGAATGAGTAATAGTCCTCAGTTACATCATAAATCATGTTGCTTGATCCTCTGCCTGATGTTAAAAAGTATTTAACATGATTATTCAGTAAGAGCGTCATATTAATATGTCTTCTTTGTTTATTGGCTCTGTTTCCGATGTAAAAAGTCTAGTTGTATCATCAAATCATAATTTTTATTCATAAGAAAATACAAATGGAATATTCTTTAGTAGAGGATGATCTAACAATAACAATAGATGTCGTGGAAGAAGCTATGGTGGAAGACACTAGTAAGTCAATAAATTTTGTATCTATTATGAGAGGACCAACTATATTGTTGACACATGATATTTCAAGCATAGCTTCCCACCAAGGAATCAATCTAAATATGCCAGAATGACAAATTCTACAACTTCACTTTCTTTAGATTCAGGAGTATCTAATGACTCAAATCTTCAAGAGGTCACAAAAGAGCAATATCAAGGCATTTTTCATCTTTTATAGTAGTTTAAAAAAATATGTGCACTCAGTAAATATTGTTAATGTTCCTTCTTTTTCACATGGTTCCACTTCAGGTAACCGATATGACATTTGGTTGATTGATAATGGAACAACAAATCACATCACCTTTAATCTCGTAAGCTTGTTAAACCAATCCTTATTTTCCTACCAAATGGAGTCAAAATTCCCACAAACATAACTACACAGTAATTCTTTATGAAACTTTAGTCTTACATGAAATTTTATATGTCCTAGCCTTTCAAGTAAATCTCATCTTTGTCTCAAAATTAATTTAGAAATATTAGAGTTTAGTTCTTTTATCTTCGTGAAAGTGATTCTCCTAAGTTCTTGAGTGATTTAAGAACCCTTGGCTATATCAAAGGACTTTCACATCCTTTGTGAGTTGACTTCCTTAGGAAGAGTGATTATTTCTTTCAACCTTTCACATTCACCTCTTGTAATTTCTTCATCAAAACTCAGAAAACTCAATTATACTTAGATTTATTTTGTAGTCATAAATTTCATTCTACTTGTCCAAATTGAGTGCTTTTGAGTCTAAATTGAAATTTATAACGATAACTTTCACCTCATTTTTGAATCACTTCAATCAGAGTTTTATAGCTCGAAATATCGACATTTTTAAAATTCTGTCACAACCTCAAAACTTTCACCACTTTCTAATCCAACTTCTTACTAATTCCCTAAATTTCCTTCAAGTTTCTAAGGCTAAAGGTCATGTGTAATTGATGTTTATATCATTTGCAGGTTCAAAGTGAGTTTCCACTAAAATTAACTTCAGCAAGAATGAGAGGCAACAACAATGACATCAACGTAAACATTAGGGTAATTCTGGCACGAATTTACATGCTCCCAAAATGTTTGTACCAAAATCATATGAACTATAAGCACTACGAGTGAATCACGTATCAAGCTTGATTTTCAACTGCTCTTTTCGGATATCTTTGAAATATTAATTTATATATATATGATAATTATGTTAAAATATACTTGATCGATTTTTGAATAAGTATTGAAAAACCACTTTAAAGTTTAAGTATATATGAAAGAAGAGAAAATTAAAATAACATAAAAAATTATAAAAATAAATATATCTTGATAATAATAAATCAATCATATTTACATTTTTTTTGTTATTATCATATTTTAAGTAATAATGTATATTTATTTTAATATTTTTTTAATATATAATAGTTATATTTATTTTATATTGTTATTATAATATATATTTAAAAGATTTAAATAAAAAAATATTTTCATTGAACTTGGAACTTCAATTTTAGTTGTCCTTGCACTCATCTCATTTTAAGATTTAATGCCCACATTTTTTACTAATTTTAAATATTATATTTACTTTAACACATATTAATGGGAGATTTTACTAATGAAGCATAACTTAATAATGTCTTAACGTAGGTTTTCTCCCTAAAATTTATGTTTGAAATTTAAGTAAGTGCATCAAATTCAATCATGTTCACTTTGTTATTATTTACTTTCATTTTCTTTAAGTTTTCTTTCTTCTTTGAGTCTCCTTTCGTTTATGTTTTCTTTGTATTTTTCATTTTAATCTTTTGAATATCATGTCTTCTTGTTTTTGTTTTTGTGACGATTTTGGTGGTTCTCCCTACTTTGAACCATTATTAGATGAATGTAAAGTTCACGAAGCTCAGCTTATAATACAAGTCTAATTTGCTTCAAGGACTTGAATTTTGTCATTCATTACTTTGACCCAATGTGTACTTTTATAGGTTTCACTCGTAGGAGGTCGACTCAAGTATTGATGATAATATTCATGATCAACCTTTTGAAAGAGGAAGATAGTCTTTCATAGAAGATGTAATTTGTGATGAAATATAAGATATCGGTGTTGAAATTGGCATTGACAATGTGATAATGTTTAAGATAAGCTCGGTAACTACCTGTTTATACTCGTCCTTCTAAGAATAGGGGTCGAATATCATTAAAAGTATTTAAACAATTAAAATTTTGTGCAGTGTTGGTAATAGTATCATGGTTAAATCTATCATCATAAAAATCAAAACTAGTGGGCGTAGAGAGTTGAAGGGCATGTTCATTATCAACATTCTTGTTGAAAGGAAAATGATCTTCGTAAAAGATTACGTTGTGGGAAACATCAATGTGGTTAGTCTTAAGATTGTAGAGAAGCTAACCTTTTGTGTTAGGATGTATCCTAATAGAGATTGTTGGATCAATATTATTATCCAGACTTCTTCCTATGTGCAATCAAAGTGCTAATATAAGAGAGACAACAAAAAACATGAAGATTGCTTAAGTCAGGATGTTTATCGTGGAGTCTTTCACATGGAGATCTTTTTTAAGATAAAGAGTAGGAATGAAGTTAATCAAATAAATATCATGCTTCAGAGCAAAACACCAAAATAAATAACATGGCACGAGTTACGTTTAATATGTGTTAATGTTTCCTCTCTATAATACTATTTTGTTGGGGTATTTCGGTGTAACTAGTTTGATGAACTATGTCCTTATAATCAATATAGTTTGTCATGAGAAATTCTAGGCATTATCAGATCTAATAATCTTAACATGTTTCTCAAGTTGTTTTTCTACATAGATGATAAAGTTAATTAAGTGATTTCTACTTTAGTCTTTATTATGCATAAGATAAACTCAAGTATATCAAATGCAATCATCAATAATAAGGAAATATTTGTAACCATGCAAGCATACATCATGACAAGGTTCTTAAACATCAACATGCAGAAGTATAAAAAGCGTCGAGGTATGTGAATCATTCATGTTAAAGGGTAAACACTTTTTATTAGCTAAGTGACAAGTGAATATTATTGTTGTATGATTAGTGAACATTCATCGGATAAATGTCCTAGTCAGGCAAGAAAGAGGCTATTATTATCAATAATAGAGGAGTGATTGGATAATGAAAGTAATAAAGATGTAGCCACAATATTAATTATACCAATCTTTCCTTTGGTTTTCTTGTCCTAGATAATACAAGAATTATCAAGAAAATAACATCATATTTTAATATAGAGGTCAATTTAGAAACAAAGATCAGGTTATAAATAAACAAAGGGATATAAAGAACATCTTGAAGGAGGAAATCCTTACCAAACTTCACAATACTAGTGTGAGTGGAAAACATTTTCACCATCAAGGAGATTAATAATAATAGGCTTGATGACTTTATAAGAATGAAAAATAGAATCGGAGGAGGAAACATGATCAAATAACACTTGAATTCATTATCCAAGAAGTCAAATTTTGTGAATTTGAGGAACTTGTGGTAATAATCATGTTACTTTTTAAATTTGGTGAGTTTATTGAGCAAGAGATGACTTGTTTGTATGATTAGTGAACATTCATCGGATAAATGTCCTAGTCGGGCAAGAAAGAGACTATTATTATCAATAATAGAGGAGTGATTGGATAATGAAAGTAATAAAGATGTACAGACTGGCCACAATATTAATTATACCAATCTTTCCTTTGGTTTTCTTGTCCTAGATAATACAAGAATTATCAAGAAAATAACATCATATTTTAATATAGAGGTCAATTTAGAAACAAAGATCAGGTTATAAATAAACAAAGGGATATAAAGAACATCTTGAAGGAGGAAATCCTTACCAAACTTCACAATACTAGTGTGAGTGGAAAACATTTTCACCATCAAGGAGATTAATAATAATAGGCTTGATGACTTTATAAGAATGAAAAATAGAATCAGAGGAGGAAACATGATCAAATAACACTTGAATTCATTATCCAAGAAGTCAAATTTTGTGAATTTGAGGAACTTGTGGTAATAATCATGTTACTTTTTAAATTTGGTGAGTTTATTGAGCAAGAGATGACTTGTTTGATGGAATTATTTGAATTGAATTGTGGAATAAGGGACATCAAAGCTTGATATCGTTGATGTGAAAGACAAAAATCTTGGTTTCCAGGATCAGAGGAATGACCAACTTCATTCTTGTTATTTTTGGCTTTAACATAGTTCACGACATTGTTATTATCATTGGACAATTTGTGACCAAGAGAAAATTCATGTTTCTTATATCACATGCCAACAAAATGGTTGAACTTTCCATAATGTGAGAAAGCCTTTTTAGGATTCTTATAATTCTTATTGTCATGATTTTGTAGAAAATCATGTTTATCGTAGCATACGCTCTCGGTGTGCCCATATTTTCCACAATGAGTGTAAGAACTAGTCGAGCACATAACAATGTTGATTTTAGGTTCCATTTTAGCAATGAGGTTGTTCCTTGAATCTGTCTTTCCTGTTGAGAAATATAAGAAAATATTTTATTGATGTGGAGAATGGAATCCATGAGAAACATACGAGACTTTATCTTATTGTATTGGTAATTTAATCCTCTGAGAAACTACATGAAATAGTCTTTATCCTTCCCTTGACGAATAGTAGAAAGAACAATACAAGAACATTTTGCAAGACAAGTACAAATCGAATCAAGTAAAAAATTGTCTAATTCATCCCAAATTATGTGAAGCTTTGTAAAAAAATTTGTAACAATTACCCTACCTTAGTAATGAAGCTTTGGTTTTTGGTCATCAATTATTAAAAGGTCGCCTCAAAAGTATCTCGATTTCAAGTCGTTCCAAATATCTTCGGCCTTTACCATCCATAAAATGTTTTTTCAATTAGAGTAAAAAATGGAGTGAATGATTCATAAGTGTACCATGTTGCAACATTTTCAAGAATGGTAGGAAAAATCATTCTTGTCAAGTTCTTTAGTAATATCATTAATGAATTCGGTACTTAAGGCATTAATTATAAATTGGCTCCAAGAATGGTAATTGGTTTGATCAACAGGGGAACACAAGAGTAGCGGCAAGATTCTCACTGGGATTTAAATAAAGAAAGCTATGGATGGAGATATTATGTCTAACTTCTTAGGACATGATAAAAAAACAAGATGACGAAGGAAAAGGAAGAATCGAGTTTATAATTGAATTCATCAATGTTAAAAATTAAGGATATTATTAAAAATTATAAATGTTAAAATCCTAATTTTTTTTTAACTAAACAAAAATTATACAAAGAATATATATATATATATATATATATATATATATATATATATATATTCTTAAATTAGGATTTTTTTTTCTTTTATTAGGATGAAGCTTGAATTAATCAACAAGTTATTGTAATTTCCATACTCACTTAACATATCATATTTTTACCAAACTACTTAAAATTAGATAATTCATGTATTTTTTTTATCTCGTTTTCATTATTATAGTTTTCTTTTATGAATGTATTTTTTTCTCTTTTCAAATATTTTTTCACAAGTTATCCAAAACAACAAATTATTTAAATTTTTAAAAAATTTATACTTCAAAAATAATTTAAAATATATTGAAAGATTTATTTTGAATAATAATATAATTTGATCTAAATCTAAACAAAATATACATTTTATTTTTAAATTATTTTAATCTAAGATAAATATTTAAAAATTATAAATAATATCAACGTCAATTTAATTATATATTGATTGGTAAAAAATAGTCAATAATGTGAATGTCGACCTATTAATGTATTAAATATAAAAAATTAAAAATTATTTATTTATTAAAAATATTAAATTATATAATATTCATCATAAAATATAATATTCATCATAAAAAAATATTATTTAATGAACTAAATAAAATTATTTTTAATTTTTAAATATTTATCTTATTTTAAAATATATAAAATAATTAATTTTATTTAAATGTATATATATTATTTAGATATAAATTATATTATATTATTATTAAAAGAATTCATGAATATATTTAAATTATTTTAAATATAATTTTAATAAAATATTTGTAAGTTATTTGTGAAAAAATAATTTGAAAATTTGAAATAAATAAATAAATATAAATGTACGTAACTAGATGTATTATGCAAGTCTTTCTCGTAGTTGCGTGTGATCAGACAACACACACAAAGATTAACTTGTGTTGTCTCGTGACTAGTCTCCATCTCATCACATCATGACTCAGCATTCCACATAATCATAGAAAACACAAAACGCAACACAACACAACACATTGTCATACGACACTCCGTTTCGTCGTTTCCATCATTCATTCATTCTTCCTCTTCGTTCTTTCATTCACTCACACATAACCTCTGTCACCCACCACTGAACAAGCAGCAAAAATTTAGCATGCTGCCAAAGCATAAGCCTTTTTTTGTTCCCTCATCCTCATTAATTGGATTAAGATAACTACGCCCCTTCAAAACAGGAGATTCTTTATCATCCACACACACGGTCCAACAAAACTGGGACTGAAATACGGAAGGAAGTGAGGAGTTTTTGCTCTTCTCTCAGACCCTTTGATCTTTATTTTCTCCTCTGGCTGGACAAGAAATTGGGAAGAAAGATGGAAATGATGGCATACCAGTTTTCCCGGTTACCTTACTCGGATTCCCTCAAACTGCTGGAGGCTGATATACAACATGCAAATGCTTTGTTAGTTTCACTTCTCTTTCACTCTTCTCTTTCTTCCCATTTTAACATCTTATCTATCGCTTTCGTTCTTCTAATTATGTATGGTTTTTTTATTTTATGAAACTAAAGAATAACAGAAAAATGGGGTTGTGCATAAAGAACAAGTTTTGACTTGATTATATACTTTAGGACTTGAAATGGGGGGGGGGGGGTCATATTCATTTGATAAGCATCTGTCTCTTACTGATTGGGGTTGATCATCTTCAATTGTTATCTGTGGGAAAAAAATTGTGCTTTTTGATTGAATTTGTGTCTCAAACTGGTATTTTTTATTAATTTGATTGTGCTTTTCCTTGTGTGTGGGAGTGGGTGTGTTTTTCTTTTTTTACTTTAGTGTTGTGCACCCTCTGAAATTCAGTACTGGATCTGTCCTCTCTAGGGCTGCTGAAATTCCCAGAGCCAAGGGGGGACTCTTCTCCAAATGAAGTTGGCTTACAACCGATGGACTCCTCTCTTTCTATTGTTGCTACAGTGGATGGATTTTTCTTGTACATGCTTTCTACACAGATATCTTGACCTCTTCCACATAATTATATACAAGGTAAACTCCTATTTTTTAAGGTTAAACTATTTATGCGCTTGGTCTCTATAGTTGTCTCTATTTAAAGTTTTAGTTATCTTACTAAAAATTGTAAATTCTAATCCCTAAACATACACTGAAGTTCAATTTTGGTCTCTGGTGCAAATACCAGAGAAGAGTTTCTAGTAGTTTATACTGTAAAACCGCTATAAAACCTTCTGATGGTGATAAAGCGCAACTAAAATTTACTATTTTTTACGGAGACTATAGAACTAAAAAAGGGACAACTATAGAGCCCAAGTGAATCCATTAACTTTATTTTATAAGCTTTTGATTGCACAAATTTTGTTCTGTTTTGGTGTAGGATTCCAATGTTTATAAATGACCCTTGTTTTTCTTTCGTTATTGTTGTTTCTCTCCTATTTTTCACCCAAGGTACACAATGATGGTAGATCAAGTATGACTTCTCATGGAAGGAAAGCAACCATCAAGGACTTTTATGGTGCGTGAATCTTTGACTTTCAAAAAACACCTTTTTTTAGTTCTTTAGGCCTCACCAAAAAGATGCTCATGTTTGTGATTGACTTTACTAACTATTTCTCACTGTTTTTTGGGGTAAAAAAATGAACTTTAGCTATTATTCTGCCCTCTCTTCAAAGGCTTCATGGTAGCATGGAGAAGTTGGACATTTGTAAGAAAGGACATTCTAGCATAGATGGCTCAAGTCATGGCAAGAAAATGATTGAAGGAGATGCAAAACCAATCAATGTCGATTTGGAAAGAGAAGATGAATGTGGGATATGCTTAGAGCCGTGCACCAAAATGGTTTTGCCTAATTGCTGTCATGCCATGTGTATCAAATGCTACCGCAAATGGTATGTATTCACATCAAATATGCACATTAGCCACCCTACTGAATGCTCAAATTGGTTTGTCATCAATTGCAACACCCTTATGTTGTTCTTTCCAACCTCCAGGAACAAACTGTCAGAGTCTTGCCCTTTTTGCCGTGGTAGCTTAAGGAGAGTTAACTCTGAGGATCTATGGGTGCTCACTTGCAATGAAGATGTTGTTGATGCTGAAACAGTTTCCAAGGAGGACTTTCTACGTTTCAACCTTTATATCAACAACCTACCTAAAGATCACCCGGATGCGCTTTTCATAATGTATTATGAATATCTCATTTGATACATATATATATATATATATATATATATATATATTGTTGTACATGTAGGGAAATCAGGACTGCAATTGTGAATAGAGTCTGTAAGAAACATTTCTGACCATGTAAACCACAGCTTTGCTAAGCTAAATTTGTGGAATTCTAGTCCAGAATAACCACTCTTGCCTTCTGATGCATCTCCACGGTGGAGTTCCAGCAACTTAATGGGAAAGAGTTTTGCTATTTTTAGACCAAAATGTGTATCATATAGCTTGTTAACGATAGTACAATTCTCTGTTAACATCGTGTATATGTTTGATTGTGTTAATTAATAATTGAGTCTTTATTCCTGGATGTAAAATAATAACATGCACCATTTGGTGTGCAAGTTATATTTCTGAAAATGCTACGAGTGTGGATATTGTAAGAAAGAAAAATGATGACGAATATGTATGATGGTATTCCCACATGATCTAGCACGAGTTCAAGGAGTAATTTAATTTATATAGACTGATTCATAAGCTTATCGTTTTCAATGTGTAAAATATTTGTATAGTATCACGGGTTGTGTTCTTAGTTTGTCTTTTTTTGGAGCAAATACTGGCAATGAATCTGGACTTGTATATATTCAAACAAATTGCTATTTTTAAACACTAGTTATTAACTCAAGCCTTTCACGGGTAAATTTATAATCTTTACAATTTAACTTGAACCTTGTGTAAAATATATTATTATATATAATGAATAACTTGTTCTTTGAGTTCTTTAGATATTTAGTAGAGAGGTGCTTAACTCTTGCCATGGATGAAGCAACACCAAGGAAAAGTCCACTAGCAAATAAACTAGTAAAACGTGTGTCATAGAAATTTTTTAAGAAGTTTTCATTTCTCGCAAATTTACGCATGCAAGACCAATGTAAATAAAATTTAAAAATTAATAAATTATACAATTTTTTTTTCATAGTCATCTTATTTGTCCATTTACTAAGCACAAAAACTTAGAAATAATTCCTAAAAGAATTTCTCCAAATTTTTTTTTACTGATTTATAAGTAAAGATATTATCAATTTTACAATATACAAAATAATGATTATTAATTGATATTTAATAAACGATTTCATATTATCTAAATATAATAAATAAATAAAATTTCAACATTTTTATCTATGGTTTAGTTATGTTTTTATTTTCTGTAGGATTAATTAGTTTTGATTTTGATCCATATAAAACAATTTGTTGATTTATTACCCTGTAAAATTTGAAGTAATTGTTTTTAGTCCTTATTGTTCAAATTTTGATTTGTGCTCTTCATAAAATATTTTTCTTTGATTTTCATCTTTCTAAATCCTATTAAAATTTAAAATAAATACTTTTTGTTTCTAATATCATTTTAAGATAAATACATCTATTTTATAAATGTAAAGAGATTGGGGTATAGAGATGGCAAAACGGGTCGATTCACTCCATCTTTGGCTAGTTAAAAATGAGATGGTGTGAGCTGACCGACTATAGTCATAACAAGTTGTAAACCTTGATCCGCCCGTCAAAGGACGGGTTACTGGGTTGGCTCGCCATAATTTACAAAAATAATTTATTTTTTTAAAATCAAAATTTTCAATAAATTTAATAATAAGATTAGTATTTGTTTGTCAATAATTAAATATATATATATATATATATATAAAATTAACATCAAAACTTATAAAATTTATATTTTTTATATTGAAAAATTCAAATACCTATATTTTTTGTATTTGATAAAACTTCATATTATTCTCCCTTGAATAATTCTTACACCTTTAATTCAAGTCATAAAATAAGAATAATCAGTGCTTAGGATGAAGAAGGAGAAGACGATGAACAACAAGGAGAAAGGAGAGATGAACTTGTGTTTCAATAAGGAGAATGTTTCTTATAATGAGTAAGAGGGAAATTTTTTTAATTCTCTTTTTATAATTTTTAACTTAATATATTATCCTTATGATTAATTGTATTATAATAAAAAAATATTTTTTTATTAATTAGGCGAGTCGCAGACTGATCCGTCTTGTCCCACGGGTTGGTCCGACGGGTTGACGGGTTTAGTGGGATGGGTCAGAGCGGGTTGACGGATTGAAAATATTAATCTGCCCCGTCATATTATAGCGGACTGCCGGGCTAGCCCACTTGACCTGATCCTTTTTGTCATCCTTGAAATATAATAACTAAATTTATACCTCAATATGAATCACTTGGAATAATCCCTTCACCTTTTGTTCAATAAGTAATGGTTAATTAATGTGATATAATATTAGAGATAAGAAAAAGTAACTTTCGTTGTAAAGACTACAAATAGAGAATTTATTTTTATTGCAATCAAAACAAAACTCACTTTTTGTTACAGAGATTAAAAATATGTTTAAACCTTTATTTATTTAAAGACAAAAATTAGGAAGAGAAAAAACTATCAATGATGATGCTTGAAGATGACGATGGTTACTCATGTTTTCTTCTTCTATGCTACTACATTCTCCATTCTAATTTTTTTTTCTAATAATTTTTCTTTTAGTTCTTAGCTATAGGTTTAAATTCTTCATGTGGTCACTGAATTTCAATGATGGAAAGAAGACAGCGCCAACCAACCAAGTTATATTTACCAAAATTAATGGCATCACAAATCAGTTTCCAAATCTCATTGTTTGAATTTTACCATAACTACTTCTTTGATTAATTGATATTTATGTTCATACTGCAAAGTTTTGGAAGTCATGCTAATAAAGCTTATATCATAATTTAATGCTTGTTTACTCCTCAAATTATCATCCAAACACATAATAGTGTTTTATCATGTACCAGTCTCTTTTTTATAGTTGATTCTCACGTCACGGGATAGGTATGAATAATAGTTAATTGTTATCTGTCCCATGAAATAATTCATTTTTGTTGTTGAATATCCATTTAAAAAAAATACAAATATTTTTTAAATCTATGAGTATTTATAGATATATGTGAGTTTTTTAATATTTTAAATAAAATTCAAATATAATTATAACTTCAAATATAAATTAAAATAATATAATACATTCAAAATTTATATATAAATAAAAATTAAAATGAGTCCACGTTACTAATAGTTAAAACATAAATCTAAATAAAATTAATTTAACAAACACTTTTAATAAAAATCACATTGTGGGATTGGTGTTTTTCTCATCAATAATTTCACTTGAACCACTTAATTCCTAAAAACAAGTAACATATAAATAAATTGATATAATGATATTATTGGTAAAATTAGAATGAATATGAAAAACAATACTAACTTGATCATCAATTATTTTGAAAAAATAAAATAATTCATTAATTGTAATAATTAATTTGAATGAATATAACTATGTATTTTAAAGAGTTAATTTAATTCCTTTTTAAATTAGGTCATAGTCAATCTTGGATACATATCAATGCCTTAAAAAATGTTTGAATGTAATGTGGAGTAAGAAACTGATCTCTAGTACTAAACGAAGATTGAGAATTATGAAGATAAAAATTGTTATTAAATCCCTTGCAAATTTGTAAGATTGAATATTTTAATCATTAGTCTTCCACTAAACTAAGATGTCAAATTCTCCATCTAAATCAGGTAATGTTGGTTCTTCCAAAAACTACTATAGCAAAAACCGTTTAATGACAGTTAAAAATGACTTACCACACCAGTTGCGAACTCATCGTTCTATACAAGAGATACGACGACGGGTTAAGATCATTGTTGTATGTCAAGATACGATGACGGTTATTTATAAATAATCATCATCGTATCTTGACATACAATGACAAGTTTGGTCACACACATCGTTGAATCCTTGTGTCAAGCATGATTATGATGACGGTTATGGTATTAACCGTCATCGTATCTTTGTATTTTTTTAATAAACAATTTTTTTATGACTTTATCCCATTACCTACATATTTAATCAGTCAAGTATTGTACAATGTAGATTTTTAACATATTTACCGTACATAAGCAATTATAAATATGTACAATAGTTAATATCTAATATTAGTTTTACTAGAATTCTACAAAGTTATTATAAACGTATAGGAATAATTAATCAACTATCCTAATGTTCAACTAAAAAGTCATGATCATATACATAATGTTGTTTTAATAAAAAATTAACTATCCCGATGTGTTAATCAAGTTGATGAAGTATGTTGCCCATGTTCGTCTAATATATTTTATGACATTTGTATTCATGGTAGATGTGTCCATTAAAAATTGTAATATTTTAAATAAGTTTTCATAAGTACAATAATAACTAATGTTTTGGTGTATAATAACTCATGTTCTTTAAAGAAATATTTATCTTACTTGATCCAAACTTTTTTCTATTCCTAGTTGGACAATGATTATCATCCATTACATTACATAATAACCATACTCATATATTTCAGTTTATCTATTACACTATTACTCAAAATATAGAAATTAAATTAGTTTGTTAATAAAAAAAATATTTGTGATTATACCTTTAGATGTAACTAAGTGAACTTTTGTGGTATTCCACTTGATCTAGTGCTCATTATGTTATATCCAAAAAAATCATTAAAACATATATACTAAGTTAAAACATAAAAACATAACTATAATATAAATATCTATAAAAATAACCAAATTTTGTTACCAATCTACTATTTGTTTAAGGTATATAGGTGATTTTCCGTGCAACAAACAAAATCATGCAATTGTATTGTTAATCATAAATATGACAAGCAATTGTCAATAATGATTATGCATTGAAACATATTAAAATTAGTTAAAAATTAGAATTAAGTAAAAATAAATTATAAAGAGAATGTACTTACATATAAACATATGATCCAAAATAAATCATTTTTATCAATAAGAGAGTATTTGTAATGTTTATTTGTGTCTCTACTTTCTTATTACTTGATGGTTGAATTATCGAGGATCTAAAAATTCATTAGCCTCATCTTTCTCTTCACTCACACATAACTGAGATATATACCTATAACGAGTGACATAA